TCTATTTACATAAAATGGGAATAAGTTGCATGAACGTGACATGTTACAGGGATTGCCTTTAACTGTAAAAGAAGTTAAAATACTTCTTCATTCTTCTATGTCAAGATAGGCACAAACAGATGTTTTGCTTCCTGATACCATAACATGCCACAAATATTGATTATTTAGGCATTTCACAAAATGATAAATTGACGAAAATCAATGAAAAGGTGCCTGCTTAATAAAGAATTGGTTTATTTTGAATGGTGCAATGAAGGAAGAGGTGTGTTCCTCTGGCGGGAAATGTTTGAATTAGACTGGATAAATCTGATCATTATTTCCTTTAATGGAATATGAAATAAATATGTTATTTTCACCTTATCGTGAAATTGGAAATTGATATAATGAGTAGCATTTGATTCTCACTAATTGATGTGTGCAAGTGCTTATGTATGTGCATAAAGGAAAAAGTGTGTTCTTTCTTTTGGAGAATATTTGAGTATATCACTAGCACTTGCTTACTTAATGATGCATGTTTTGGCGTTCAGCCATATGGTTAAATGGTTGAAGTTTTTGATTGCATACTATATTATTGCAATGAAATTCATCATGATATTGTATATGTTACATATGAGAAAATTCTAAAGTGTTAGAATTTTATAAAAGAAAGTATGTGAACTTCCATGACCATTTCTCTTCTAGAAAATCAAAAATGACATGATAAATTTGTTTGATTGATTTCATGTCTTGTTGAACTCATATTAACTTGGGTTAAATTGATAGCCTCATTTAATCATATGGACTTAAGTGAGATGATTATATGTCAATTATATTTGCATAAAAGCATGACAAATTTTGATTTGTCCTAATTTATTTTGAAGTGGAAGATGCTTGCGCATTTATTGAGAAATGGAAATATTTTGTAGAGCATAAATTGTGTTTGCATACTAGTATGACAAAATTTATAATATGCTCTAAATAACCTTCATGTATAAAGGATATTGAGGAAACCAATTTTGATTAATTGATTATTCTCACTTCGTCGTGACAATTGGGAATGGCTCTTATGCATGACATTTTAAAGAATGCAATTTAAACCAATTGTGGTGGCTAAAGATCTATTTGATCATGGTTGTTATTCAGTGATTAATTCCAATATATAGGCTGTCACATTTGCTTGGATAATACACGAACCCACTTGAGTAGCCCACATGTTTCTGTAGGGCATCATTTGTTGCACGGTGTATTTGCCATTATGTTGGTTTATGGACTTCGATGTGCAAGTAAAGTACATCCATATTTATGCTTTGAGACCAGCTTATTAATCTTTAATGGGTCTAAGGATGTGTAAGGATGCCTACCATTTGTTGGAAGCACATGAAATTTCGTGACTACTTGTTCTATTGGAATATGAGAATCACTTGATAACTTGATGATTGATTTCATGTTCTATTGAAATGTTGATAGCCAAAATTAAGTGAGAGAATCTTATGCAAAATCGTGTTTGTATACAAATATGACAAAATGTGATTTTATCCAAATGTGAATAAGGTAAATATATGTCTTATTATTCGAAATGATATAATTTTGTCTTGTGAAAGTGGCAAAGTGCAATTCTTGTGAAACAAGAAGCATGGTCTTATTTATTAATTGAATTTCTCTTCAAATGTGGAACCAATTGAGTTGGTTTATGCTTGAAAAGGCATTAGTGGTCTATGAGATGACCTTGATTAAATGGTGCGATCAAAATTAAAGATAGTGAATTAAAAGTACATTGTGACTTAACAATCACTATCTGAAATACTTAAAACTTTCACGAGTATTATCAAAGTGATAAGTGAATGAACTATGAAAGAGTTAATATACTCGAAGTTCAAGTACAATCCCAAATATTGGGGTTGACATATTGAGGAACTCTAAGTTCGAGTATAACCCGAAATATTGGGGTAAACATTAATCTTATGAACTTATATGAAAAGTCCAAAGATATATGGATGCAACATTACAAGATTGCATAAGAATTCCTATTTTGATGAATTGGCGGGGTAACTTAGTTTAAAAAGTCACCGTATCCTTTACCTTTTAATCATAGAAATACATCTATGATGGAGAAAGGTAGAGAACACTTTGTAAGGATGAAACACACTAAGTCTAAGGTGGATTAAATGGGTAAAGGCTGATTGTGGCGCTTGCAAAACCCATGGAATATTTAAAAAATATTCATTGAAGATCATTGTAATGATTCAATGATGATATGTGAATACCCAAGTATAAAAATCCACAAATAGAAGTGATTGACTAGTGTAATGAATTAATGAAAATCACCCAACTGTGTTTTAAAAATCAATAAATATAAGTCTCAGAGGTGACGTCACATGCAAATTATCAAAGGTGAAATAACTTCCGAAGAGAATTTAGCGGATCCTTTAACTAGACCACTAAATAAAATTTTAGTGGTATCTATTTCGAGTAGGATGGGGTTGAAACTCCTAACTATAAAGGTCCACTAATGACGGCAATCCTACCTGTCATTACTCAAAAGGTAATCCATGGGTTCAAAGGGTAAAAATAAGTGATTCGATATATGGGATGGTTTCAGCATTATTGAAATCTGCATTGACCCTCTCCTAAGTAAAATAATGCTGGTTGTTACTGAAGTAAGGGTTGAGCATTAAAGCTCTTAACAAAGTTTAGTGCTAAAACACAAGTACTTCTAAAAGCAACAAAGGTACTAGAAGAATTTCATCTAAACAAACTTCGAGGTGGTGCCGCTTCAAGTGAGAATTCGAGTTTCTCTCTTAAAAGTTTAGTGAATAGGATAAGCGCAAGGCCATAACAGCATTAAGCAAGTTATGAGGAACTTGAGAACACGTGGTACTTATGTGTGTGTTCGAACTGGTATTCTCACATAGAATAACTAGTTCAAAGCTACGACTACCTTTGATTCCAACTATACTTTGTTTGGATTACACTATGGCTAGATTCAAATCGAAAGATATCTAGTCCTTATGCATGAGTATCTATGATTTGAAAATGAGGTTTTTTAATTGAATTTCGAACAAGTGGGGGATTGTTGAAATTGTTGTTTAAAAATTCAATGGAAAAAAGAAGTGGAATGGAAGTGGAACAAAAGCAAAATGAAAAACCAATCGGAGGCCTATTACATGTGCCATGCAACCGCAAGGCACTTTGGCCATGCGGTCGCATGTCCATCACCCGAGAATGGAAGCCCAGTTTCGAGTACTTCATGCGACCGTATGGAGTTATACCATGCGGTTGCATGGTAGTTCCAGAGTGACCATTGGAGGCGGTTGTGGTTTGAAATTGGCGGTTTTTCAATTATGAATTGGCACCACTTCACATAGCCTTGTTTCATGGCTATATATAGGTGATTTGTAATCATTTCAAGGGTATGAAAAACCATTACAAACATGAGAAAAACCCCTAGTGATCCAAATATTATTCCACATTAAATCAAACACTTGATTTCTCATTCATATTCAATTCTTCCTTGTGTTCTTAAAGTTTTGGAGGATCCCGCTTATGCTTTAGTGCTAGATCCTTTACAAAACTTGATATAATTCTACAAACCATTTACCAAAATCCTTAAGCATCTCAAACAATCCCGAGAGGAGGCAAATATAGTTTGAGGACAGCGATTACGCGTTCAAGCCTTCATGTTCGTTGTGTTCTTCATCTTCTTTGTTTCATCTTCTTGATTATAATTTCTGGAATTTTCTTCTCCATTTTCCTCGGTTGATACAAATATTTTCAATCTCAACTAATCCACAGGATCATTTTCAAATTACATGCCAGTATTTTGCAAGCTCTAGTGTTTCTTTTTGCACCCAGATATGTGAGATCCTGTAATTTATTCTTTACAGTTCCACTCCCCTATAGAAAAAAAGGGAGAAGAAAAAAGGAATAGAAAAGAAGAAATCGATTGTTGCTGAACTAGATAATATAAACTTGGGGCATTTTTAAGAATGTCCAATTTTAAAAGTATGAGCTGAAAAGTGTCCACTCATTTGAATTTAGTGCCAACTTATCTATTTTGCCCTTAATGAAAAGTTACATTTTGGAATGACATTCTCGACATTTTAAATGTCGAAAATAAATGTCGTTTTCGACATTTGATTTTTTTATCAATTTGTCACGAATTTTGAGAAGTGGCTTCCATGAGAAGCTACATTAAAATAATGACATTTCATATATCATTCTCAACATTTGAACACCGTTTCATTTGTCTAGAATAACATTTTATTTTGAATATGATATTTCTCTACATTTAAAAATGTCGTTTTCGACATTTCTGAATCAATGAAAAATATATCATTTATTGTGATTTGACATGTATACTTTTTAAAAATAAATACGACAGGTTATGTGTCAAAATTTTATTGGCCAATAACAATATTACAAAATGTCCTTTTTTTTTGTCTTAGCGTGGAATTATAAATTGTTAATAAGGGTATTTTGGTCTAAATTCTTCCAAATTAGACATTTTAGCAATGGTGGACATTTTTACAAATGACTAGAAAAAATAGACATTTTGTGAAATTTCCTCTATAAACTTCGATTTATCGTATTCCCTTGTAGACAAACAAGCTACAATCGACTTCAACAAGTACTTAGACACAGTGTCGTTGCAACCACCATATTGAAATCACGAGAGCCTAGCTTAGATAGTTTTTTTGTTCAAGCTCGGTGATAGAAGTATAAGCATTCTCATTTCGCCTAAAACAGTGACAAGGTGTTAGTCGGCTACTTTTAGCCATTGTATCCTGAAAAAACAAATGCCTATCCTCATGCACCACAATGGGGGGCATACACAACTCCAATTGCAAAACAATGAACTCCAAATATAAACACGACACTGGACAGCTATACCATTTATGGCTTGTAAGAGCATCGGTCGAGCATCTATTACAAACAATAACAACGTGAAATAATTCAAGAAATCAGGAGTGTATAAAAAACTAAACTTAATTCATGGGTGGGGATTTCCCATGAACCTTGATCCTATAAAAACTAACAGCAGCAACACTATTAGAGAAATAAAACTGTTATTGGAAAATATGCCATTCTAAAATGGCTTTAGAACAATCACAAGTTCAGACTTCAGTGACCAAATAAATTCCCTCCAGCATCCAATGGGAGCAACTGCCCCCACTGGACTCATACTGGCTGCTGCACTGCTTGAGACAATGCGCAAATATGGTTACTAGTTCTGGATCAAACTGCTAGAAGTAACCTTGACCATGTAGCAAAGAAGCTTGAATTCATCGTTGTGGTTATCCATACGGGCAGGGTCGAATGGATCCCTCTTGAAAGCATTTTCGCAACTCTTCACTTCTTGTAGAGCATCATTTATTTCAACAGGAATGAGCTCATAACGATTATCATCCAAATACTTCTTCACAGTTTCAAGATCACGAATAGCATCATTGTAACTCTTGGAGCAAGTAATATATTTTTCCTGCAAATTAGAATCCTTGGTGTCACTGTAAAGTTGATTGTACTGGGTGTGGACTGTATTGGCTTTGTTCAAGGCCAGGTCGACTGAAACTCCTGCTAGGCCCTTTATATCTGTGTTCAAGCTTCTGGGATCTGATTTAAACTGATTCAAACACTCTAAAGAGTTAAAGGTTTTGTCGCAAATCTGCTGGAGATCCACTTCCACCGGTGAGTAGCACGTTGAAGATGGAATCACATTTACAGGCAAGAAAAAATGGACCACGGAAATTATCGTACACGTGATGTTGTGCAAGAAAAAAGCCATTTTTCACTTCTTTTTTCCTGAGCCCTCTGGTTTTCTTGTTTGTTGAGCGCCTCTTTATATAATAATTCTCAGGATTAACTCAGTTATGTTTCGGTTATGAAGATTAACTCAAGTGACTAATTAATTTTATCTTCATTATACAGCCTTAATTACATTCTGTTACAAAACATTAAACCTCAAAAAGATTGCAGCTGATTCACAAAAAAATGAAAATGCATATATTATTTCACCAGAGAAAAAGCATCAACCAAGTGGATAGATTCACACGTGCAAGTGCAGAAGCATTACAATGATACTCAAAACACAGGTAGACAACTGGTATCAAACCAGCACTTAAAAAGCATTCCATAAATGGCGCCTGCAGTTTTACACAGCTTGCAGAATTGCAGCATTTTAATTGGGATTAGAAATTCTCAGAAAATAGAACCATAAAGGGGAGCAGATAACACAAAATTTTGAAACTGTGCAAATAATATCAAAATGAGCAGAAATTGGAAATTAATGTGCATATTGAATGGATGTTAAACGGCCAAATAGCAACCTTTTTCTACACTCTACAAGGCCAAAACAAAACTTATACATAGTCGAGACGAAATATCAAGGACCTCGAATCCATTGGACAAGAGATTCACAAGAGATTCCTGAAAGCAGCTGCTGAACGATTACAATTGAAATTGCAAGCTCAATTCGGTGTTGTAAGTATAGTCTGGATACAAAGTAACTTGCACCTTTCCAGGCTTTCTTTATCCCTTTACAAATGAAACCATTTTTAGAGCTCGGTTTCACAACCATTCGTACTTTCCAGTGCTTATTAAGAAACTTATGCCAGAGCCAACTGTTCAACAAAGCAGGGTGTGCCCTTACATTTACATGAATTATGTCTCTTCATGTATCTCGATTTGCTAACAGAAAGTAATACATATGGGAAACCGAATTCAAATCTCGACACCACATTTTGCATATTACTTGTCGAATAACCTGAGACCGTAGCTTGAACCCTTCAACTCTGAAAGGCCTTCGCCTCCTTTTGACCATTAACAAAGGAGCTGATGTGGGTACAGGAACAACCAAGGTTTGTCTTCATTGGATTGTTCTGGTCAGTTTACACTTAGAAATGAAGATAGTATCTGAATAATTCAGACTGCAGAGCTTCAAAAGCTCAGCAGCTCGTTGCTTCAGTGTTGGACTGCAACCACTCTGGATGACAAGAAGAAGCTTTGCTGCAAGACCGGCATCCACGGCTATTAATGGGCATTCATCAGGGGAGAGTTTGCACACAGACCACAAGATCGAAAGTGCATATTCTGTACAGCTTTCTGAAACTCTCATAAGTAGTTTGACCATAATCGGTACAGTGTACGAACAATCCTTCAAAGCTTGTCTACCTTCAGGGACAGACGACAGGACATCCAAAATGAAAAGAGCTAATTCCAAGCTATCTGGACTCAAGCCAGATAACAGTTCCATCAATTGAGGAATAGCACCAATTCTCACAATCAAATTCCTAACTTGATGGTGTAAGCAAATTGATTTGAGAAGGCCAAGCCCGGATAAATGTCCGTTTGGGTGTCTCTTATCTCGCACCAGTCTTATCAAAGCAACCAACAAGCTATGACTAGAGAGAATTTCCACTTCAAAATCCTTCTCTTCAATCAGTTTTTCAATTAACCTAACACAATTGACTTTTGTTTCAATAGATCCTTCATTCAAAATATCGACAATTGATGACACCTTTCCAGGCTGCATCAAATTCGTTTTCGACTCAGAATCTAGAGTCAAGTTCACAAGAGTTGCTATAACTTCAGAGCCTACAGCATACGAAGTAAAGGGACCAAGTAAAGCTGAAAGAAGAACAACTCCACCTTCGTCAACCACAGACTTCCTAGCAGTGGCATGATCCTTCACAACTTGATGAAGTTCCTTAAGGGCTTGTATTCTAACCTGACCTTTTGCCTTCTTCAGGGTATTGAGAAGCTCTGTTGCCCTTCCCTGTGCATCCTCAGATCTTTTCTTCATTTGCAAATACTTCTGAGAGAACCAAGTATAGATTAAATGATTAAGGGTCCTGTTTGGAGTTACTGTATCATCCCAAAGTTCTTGCATTGTAGTGGGACAAGTGTAGTGCCCCAAACTGAACCATTTGAGAATGTTGGATCTCTCATAGGTTTGCCCAGTGCAAAGAGTCACAGGGTCTTGCATTGGTTCAAGAGAAATGGGACAAATAAACACTGGTGGAACTTCGGGTAAATTTAGCTCTTCTATCATTTTCTTCAGATCCAACTTTTCTCCTACCCCTCCACCAAAACCCCCAACTGCAACTTCGCCCAAGACTCCATTTTTGACGGCAGTGTCCAGATCTAAGATATGCCCACCCTCAAACCCAACCAGCCCATCTCTCTTTGAAGGCTGATACATAGGCATTTTGTTGAACACCTCCTCTCAAATGACCCAATTATTGAATGACACAAATCCTTTGTAAAAAGACTCTCCAAAATCTCCACATCAACAGCCTTTCAAGAAAGCACATTACATCTAACAACTACACACGAGAGATGTGAAAAAGAAAAAATTTGAAAATTCCCGGAAAGAGCTATAATGCTCGCTGTCAAAGGGCAAACCTTCTCTCTCTAATTTCACTTTTTCTAATTTTCTCTTTTCGTGGTCAAAAGACTCATCACCATCATCATATAACAAATCATGGAGTATTCACAATCAACACTCTTCCCAAAAAAATTAAATCTTTCTTCCCATTCAAGCCTCAAAAAAGAGTTGAATCATGCAAAAAAGATGGGAATCAATGCAAATCTCAACACAGAAAAATCAAACTTTCACCAAAGTATAACACAAGTGAGATGGGACTCAGTGTAAATCTAGACACAAAAATATCAAATATTCAACAAAAATAAAACACGAGTGAAGAAAAAAGTGGATACCCAGACCAAATATAACTGGAGATGAGGATTCAAGGGGCAGAAAAGAGAGAAACAGAGGACTTGACCGAAGTCTCCAGCAAAGGGCTCCTCTGCTGAGGGGTCTACTTTTCTCTTTGGTTCTGGGGCCAGAAACTATGCTGCTTTGAGTCTGGAAAAATAAAGTAATGATTTGTGGAAAAAAATATCGTCTTGGAATCGCCAAATATTCGAAAGATTGGAGAAATAATTTTTTGTTAGATTAATTTAATCAAAAAGATGCATCTAAACAGTAAACACTTGACCACCGTGACAGTTTTGCTTTGACCGTACTCCTCGGCCTTTTCCCGTGTCGCTTTGACTGGGCAGGTCTTGGCCGGTGATGTGCTCTTCCGTTATTCAGATATTTTGAATTTATTCTGTATTCTTTAATTTCAAAAAAATACATTTTACTTAGAGCTACAACAAAACGTCGTCAAATCCAAAACTGAAATCAAAATTTGTGTGAGTTTCGAGAATATCTTCATTCATAGATCCGAGATCTACATCTATTCATAAAAATATTTGAAAATGAAAAGGATATGGGACAACGTTAAAAGTATTTTCCTTAGGGAAATCAACTTGATTTATTTATTTATTTTTCAAAATTTTGAAATCTTAGTTAAATGTGTGGAATAGATAAAATCTAACTCCATGAAACAATATGTTTCTGCTAAAATATGGAAGAATTGAAATCTTATATCAAAATACATCTAATTTTTTCGAATGAACCCATTCAACGATGTAATAAAATATCGCAATGTGATAGAAATTTCTTGTAAAAGCACTAGCCATGCTCAGTTCATAATGAATTCTTGGTCGTGAACATCTGAATCGGCTATCTCTGTTCAATAATTCTTGTTTGGACAGTTCATACCATCCTGTTAAATACTTTACAGAATCTCCATTAATAATCCTTTGAGTATCTTCATTCAAATAGGTATACCAAATAAAGAAAGAAGTTCTCGCTTGCAAATTCTAGAAAACCCCAAACCAAAAAGAACGGGTTCTCCTTTTCAATTACACATTTCATAAGTTTACAATTTTTATCAAATTTTCAATCATATATTTTATCAATTTTTTATCAAAATTTATTAAGAAAATATTTTTTGTCTAAATTTAACGAAAGTTATCTGATGTAAAGTGAGCCCTATCAATGTAATTATTTTAAGGGAAAATTATACTAGAGCATATATTTAAAAATCACACGTCAAAAATTAGATATGAAGTATATTTAATCAAAAATCAAGTGACAATTTAATATTTTAATAATAATAATTATATTATAAATTAATAGATATAACCACATCCAAACTAAATTAAATTGTCAAACCCTAATTCTTTTCCATAACTATTCTCTCGCGCGTCTTTTCCCTTTATCCTTCTCTCTCTACCCATCGATCGAAATCGCTGTTGCCTCCCATGACTTGCGTCGCTGCTTGGTGAAGCTGATATAACCTTTTTTTTTTTTTTTTATTATGGCTCACGACTTCCTTCTTGTCCATAACCTTAGCCGGGAAGAGAGTTGTCGGGGAAGGTTTAGGTTGCTCTTCCAAGGACGATGACTTAAGTTTAGCTAAGTAGGCGGATTTGATATTGCTGGAGCCGAAGCGGTAGAGAAAGTAAGACCGAAGAGGGATAGGCAATGGAAGAGACGGATGGAGTCCCACTTGGGTCACCGGAAGAGTGGTAGTAGAGTAAGGTTTAACGACGGTGGAGGAGGGTAGAAATGGTAGGCAGAGGAAGAGGTTCAAGTGGTTGTGCCGACCTAGAATTGGTAGAGCGGTGGATGCCTATGACGATGGTTGTGGTGGTGGAGTTGAAGCTCATACTTTGTAAATCGTTGGCTCTGTTGGCCATCTGTGGCTCTATGGGTTTTTGTGATAGTTAAAATTATGATAGTTACACCAAATAATTTGAAATTTTGTGATAGTTAAAATTATGATAAATAAATTTGGTGACCTATAACATTTTTAATTTGTAATCAAAAAATATTTTATGACCAATTAATTTTATAATATGTGATCAATAAATATGTAACTGTGACCATTAATTCTATAATCGTGATCTTAATATATTTAATTAATTAAATATATTTAATTATTTAGTTATACCTATATTTGAAAATCTAAACTTATTGTCTGAGTTTTGAATTGATCTATATTATACATCTGATATATGAATTTTTCCCTGATTTTAATTTAAGAACATGTAAATGTATATTTTTTAGAATAAATTTTTTTTTTTTTTGGAAGGTGTGTATTAAAAAAAAAATTATGAATTCAAGTGCAAAATTATTTTACTTTGAGAATGTATAGTTAAAAGTGAGTTTGAAAAAAATAAGTTTTAAAAAATTGTTTACGAATATTGAAGTCACACTTTATCCACATATTTCGAAAGATCATAAAAACTGCCCACTTATCCATTATTAATTCTATATATTTATCATTAATACCATTTATAAATACTTCTCAAATATGCTCAAACCGATTTGGTTTAAGTTTCAATATTCTAAATGCAATAAAAATCAAATCTAAACATTTAAAAAAATGCCGAGAATTGGTCGAAAAGATCATATGTTAGATAAATTACAATTTAAATATCCAAATTATTAAGATATATCATGATTCTAATAATTTGGTTGTCAATTACCAATAATTATTTTAAATAATCCACTCAATCCATCAGTCAAAATTGTTCGCTCTTCGTTCACATTTCATACGGCAAACCACTTAATGCCCAAAAAGCATTGCAACTTGAAGATATTGTTTTCTTTTCGGGAGTATTAAATTATATTTGACTTTATATTTTATTTAATAAAATTTTATTGTGAGATATATATATATATATATATATATATATATATATATATAGGAGGGATTTGAAATCCTAATATTTTCATCAATTAAATTTCATAAAAACTTTCCAAATAGTTAGTTTAATTGACTATCATAATAATCAACCAAACTCACTATTCAATTTAAGTTGATACTAATAGAGACTAAATTAAATATACACTCCTCGTGGTAACAATATGTTACTTACCCCTCATGGGGTGGTCTTTGATCACGAGTTCGATTCCCTATACCAACATTTTTTAGATTGAGTCTATCGCACCGAACTTTCTAGTGCGGTTTACCTGGTTAACGTGGTTTGTAGACTATTGTATTAGCTTGAGGTTTTACCCATTACGCACCCAAACAGTAGTGGCTGCGGGTTCTCCTATCATAATAATAATAATAGTTTATCAAAAAAACTTTTGGCATCTTTGCCTGAAATTATATTTATTAGCTAGAATCCATTTACTTTTAGATGTAATTCAAACTTCTTTATTTTAGACTTTTAGAGGGTTCTTGAGAAACATTTTTACGTAAAAATGAATTTTTGAATAGTAAATTGATGTGAAATGTGTGGTTGAAAAATTAAAAAAAAGTTTTTGATTTACGTGTAATATTATTTTAATAAAGAATGTGTGGTTGAAAATAAAAGAAAGAAAAATGTATTTTGAAAACAATTGGTACCATTCTAAATATTTCTTCCAAATTTAAAATTTTTTCTTCTTTCTTGTTGACCTTCTTCCATGCAAAGTTCAAGACATGATGGTCTAGCTCAATTTGATTCGGAGATTGACATTACATTCAAGTTAAGACAGAGAGAACGGAAAGAAGCACAAAAGTGAAATCACAATGTTCGAAAACACAGAAAATCCAATTGCAATGGCAATTTAGAAAAATTATAGGCTTATGTGAGAGTTGATGGTACCAATCAATCCATTAATCCATTAACATGTTTCAGAATGCACTTCAATGTTTGGGCAAGCCGAACAGCAATCCAAAAATCCAAATACTCATATTTTTAGGTTTTCGGATATGTACAAATCATTTGAGTATACAGGCGTACCCAATGATGCAATTTGATTGATTTTTTTCTCATATACTTTGATGAAAGCTCCAAAAGAGTAGTTGTAATCGTTCCCACCAAATAGCATAAACACTTAGATTATCTTACCCAAAATCATGACTAAATTCTTCCAGCCAAAGAAGATTGTCAGACCGAGAGATGAGATCACTATATTTGCTCAACATGATTCGAAATGTCACATCAAGCTGCGAGAGGTACAAGGGATTGCTCAAACCGTGTCCACAACGTGGATTACAAAAAATGACTTCAAGTCTAATATTTCTACATTGGGCTAAATCCAACTTGGAAATGAATCATTAGTCTATGTTGTGATGGATCAATCTGTAAGAAGACATCATGTGAAGCTTATGAAGTAACAGAGGTTTTGGCAGCCACCAGTGCATTGTAGCCTTTAGATCATTCAAGTGGAAAGCTAGTTGTAGATTTCAGGTGGTCGAGACAATAATAGTCATCTCTGCTCAAGTGCATCATTGACAAAGAAAGATGATGATATTACTATGAATCTGTTCGACTGTAACGCCGAATGACTTTCTGGGTTGTGATGACAAAATGGGCTAAAGCCCAAAATCTGTTTTCAACTAATATCCAGGCTCTTGCCCTATAACGTGACTTAATTCACCAGGCCCAAAAGATTTAAAATCGTGTTTTGAGGTGAGGCGTTTATAATGCAGCCCAAAAACGTATCCTCTTCAATTCTTGGGAGCCCCTTAACTGTTGGATGAAATCTTGATCAATGGCTGGCTTTTTTGGGTATAAATATGTGACCTTGGTTGCCTTAATCAGTTGGATCGTCACTTTTCTTTTCTTGCACAGTCGTGTGAGAATTTCTTTGAAACTCTTCCAACCCTGATTTCTAGGTGATTTTTCTTTGTGAAACTAAAATACTTAGTCTATTAGAAGGGTTGTTGTGTGTTCTTACCCTAGTGGCTTCCTTTAATCCGATAGAGGAAAGCCTTAAGGTTTGGGTGGATCA